GCGCACAACGGCTCTCTCCAGCCCTCCAGCTCCGGTCCTGCACGTCGCAGGAGCAGTGCCTGAGATTGGCCAAGGAGTGGAAGCGGAGGGATCTCTTCCAATGGCTTCGGCTTAAAGACATGCCAAAAAGCAGTCTGCTCTCGGAAGCCCTAGAAATCCTCGACCGATCAGTTATGAGTCTGCATCAACACGGCTTGCGGTCAGGAGGCTGGCCCATTCCGGGGCAACCGACAGTGCCTTGGAAATAAAGAACGAAGGCGCCTGCATCAGAGACTGGACTCTTCGGTGCTGCTGCAAGGGTGAGGCCGGGCTCGGAGAGACAAAGGTTATCTTCGGCTTTGGGTATCCGGCTCGAAAACCGCCCACCTGACCCAGAACCCTTGCGAAGAGAATCCCAAGCAAGAGAGAAGCACGACCACTGCGGCGACATTGAAGTTTGTTCAGACATGATCTTCCAACCATGCCCACCCTCCGGAAGTTTGGTGGGTTGGATTCGCCTCCATACCTTGCGTACGACCTGGGAACTGCCAGCAGTCGAAGTCTTACTATACTAAGCACTACTAAGTATGTTTCCTCGTTGTCAGTTGCTGCTGGCTTGCTTCGGTGTGTCCACGGTTTTGCTGCCTTGCTTTGTAACAATCTGCAACTGCCTTCAGGCACTGAAAAGTTCCGCCCGCTGATACTGAGGTACTAGGGAGACGATACTCTCTAAGACGAATCAACAAAGAGCCCTCGGGCTACCGCTCGAGCCCTGGCCGGATCCCCTGGGAGCCTCGGCCAGCTTCTTCCCGGCTGAGACGTCTTCCCTAAAGCTTGGGCCGAGCACTGCGACTGGCGAGAAGAAGCTCCCTTTGCACAGGACACACTCCACACGTGCCCGGACAGCACAACACGCACACCCACACAAACAAGCGGACTAAATGCCTGTGAAACCGTGCCTGCCTAGCCTAGACGTCACGCATGGAATCCCTGCTTCCTGATCCAACGTCGCACAGTATCCGTGATGCTGTAGTCGCCGTGGACAGCACGACTACCAAAACTAATGTGCTTAACTACTTTGATGCTAGTGCTGCTGACTGTGTTGTAACTACGTTTAAACTGCCACTGCTGTAGAAGTGTCATGCTGATGAGGATTCTCACTTAGCAGTCGTGGACCTGCAGCTTATGCATAAAATTCACGTCATCGTTGAGCAAGTCACTCTCATAATGGTGACCAGCGTGGTAATGATAATGATTCCGCCGATGGACATAACAAATGTCATCCACCCCACAAGGGCTACTTCTATGACCGACGTGGCTTCAAAGGGCAAGTCTCCAACACTTGAAAAATGCCGGCAGCCAGCCCCTAATTAGACCAAAGCCATGAAAGGAGAGGAGCTGCAAATTGCCTGATGGGCCATTACTCTTGTTGCTGCTGTTGGAAATACCGCGAACGGTCTTGACGTTATTGCTGTGAACTCTACCACATCTGCACTAGGACGATGCTAGTCAGTCTGATGGCATATCCAGAGGTTCTTGGAAAATCTTGCATCCACCTTTAGCTCACAACATGAAATCCCGATGCTTCGTCCCTCTGCCTGGACCGGCACCAAACTCTTGGACCTGGCGATGGATGGTTTAGGGCTTGCGGTTTCGGGACGGTGCGCTAAATTCGGGTTTGAAGTTTGATTGAAGGCTTATAGTACGTGCTCAAATGCGCGGGGCGTGCGCGCATGTTTGTGCTGAGGATAGTCATGGCACGATACTGCCTAGCCGTCATTTCCGTATAGCACGCTGTATAATAATATGTGCTGCATGTCCTTGGGAATCGCTCGGCCCTGCCCGAAGCAGGCTTGCACATGGAGCCTTGACCAAGTAACTGGCCAAGCCGTGACTTGGGATTTCTGAAGCTTTGCAAGCCTACTCGAATGTTCGGAGGAACTGTGCTTCTTGTTGCTGGCAGTATGATGGAACTGCGCCTACTCCTACTACTTTATATCGTTGACAAACCCTGACTCATTTTCACGGGCAAGAAGCCTACAGGCGCTATTAAACCGCTATTATTGCTGGTGGGAGTCTTGGGAGTGTGCACTCGCGGCTGCTAGATCCGTGAAAGACTCGTACTCTGCAGGTCTCATGCTCTTTGGAGTCCGCCCATTCCCGTCTGCCACCTGCGGCCCCTTTGGACAGATCTCTCACCTCGTGCTGAGTCATTTGGGGGCGTTCTGCCTCCGGATTTGGTGGAAGGGTTTGTGTTGGGGCTGGTGCTTATACAACTCGAAACAACTGGCCCGGCATGGTTCTGTAAGCAAGCTGTGCAAATCAAGCTGTTGGATCTGTACTGGAAAAGTATCGGTACACATTGTTCATCCTTCATTTCCTCAAGCCTGGCATAACATTGCTGGAGGTTGTTCCGGTCACACGTGCTTCTATGAGAATGCCTAAACCCTAAACCCTAAACGTCGTCAACTTTCCCAAGCTCATACCCTGGAGCTATCCTCGACGCAAGCAAGATGCACACCGACATCCTGATTTGCTGGTTGTGGCTGCCATTGCTTACATCTACGCTAGTCCGCTAGCACTAGCACTTTTGGCCTTTGTAGTGTTTCCGGAGCAACCCTTTCATCCTTTCAGAGCCACAAATCTTCGGCACATGAGCAAAGTAATTGTCTACTGTAGCTTCTTCTTCTAGCTTTCTCTAGCTTTGTCTAGCCGCCCTTGTCTGGCTAGATTTTTTCTGTGGCTGTGAACCTGACGGCCGGGAAGCCTTCACCAATGTCCCTCCTTGATCGTAGTCGTCGTCGCCGTAGTAGTAGCTGAAGTAGCAGGAGCAGCAGTAAGCATAGGCGTGGGAGGCATAGGCGGAGGAGGAAGAGGAGGAGGAGGGGGAGGAGGAGGAGAGTAGCAGTAGCAGTAGCAGCACACGCAAATGATCCGTTTGCCCGCACACCTGGTCTGCGGAGACGGCCGGGGCCTCGTTTTGCTGGCAGGCGCGTAGAATTTGGCACATTGGTCGGAGGACGGCAATCGACGCCCCTGTTTCGCGGACGAGCAACTCGCCTCTGAAAATGACAACTGTCTCGAGGATTTTGCGTGCGCGGTGTTTGCATTTTTGCTTGTTGTTGTGGGCTGCCTGCGAAACCCGAAACCTGCAAAGGGTTTGGGTGGATGCGTAATGGGTGGCTGAGAAAGCCTGAACCCTAAACTTTAAATGACTGGGTGTGTGCGAAACCCCAAACCCTTAAAGGAGAGACTGGCTGCGAAAACCCAAACCGTAAAGAGAGTGGGTGGGTGCGAAACCCTGAAACCCTGAAAGGAGTGGGTGGCTGCGAAACTCTGAAACCCTAAAAGGATCCGGTGGGTGCGAAACCCTGCACCCTAGAAGGAGTGGGTGCGTGCCAAATCCTCAACCCTAACAGGAGTGATTGGGTGCGAAGCCGTAAACCTTAAAAGGGTTTGGGTGGGTGCGAAACCTTGCACCCTGAAAGATGGCAGGGGTGGAAGAAACCCTGAACCCTGAAACAGTGGGGGGGGGGGGCGCGAAACCCTTGGGCGCACCGACCATTTTGGGCGTAGCAGCAGTAGCACAGTAGCAGCAGTAGTAGTAGTAGTAGTAGTAGTAGTAGTGTTGTAGCGGCGAGTAGGAGTAGGAGTAGAGTAGGAGTAGGAGCAACCGCAGCAGCAGCTGGCGTATCAGTCTTCTTTTGCGACAACAGTAACAACAAACACGCAGACAAAAACATCCCACCAAGGCAGCAGTAGTCATGCTACTTAAACATATCGGCATAAGACTAGCGGCCCAGCAGGTAATCATGACCCAGCGCGCCCCCGAATCAAGAAAGACCGACATGAAGGGCTAAGCCGAAAGAAGAGCCGAGACCCAAGCAGCCGCGTTCCGAGGGCTTCGGAGAGAAGTTCAGGCGCCGAGGCCGAGAAGGTCCCGGCGTGACTGGTCAGAGCTTCTGTGGCTTTCTTCGGGTCTTTCGCGGGCCCGAACCCTAAACCTCGACACCCCGAAAATCGGCAGTCATGAAGGTCGTGAGGACTGGGGTCATCATTCAGACTACCTACCAGCTAGGATGTTTGCTCTGTGAAAACCCTCACAGGAACCACTTACCCATAGCGCTGGTCGCCAGATAAATATTGCGATCCCAGCAAGCATTGTCACTGTCCTTCTGTCTCTTATCAGGTGCTCAGGCCTTCAATGCTTCAAGCTGCAGGTTCCGAGAGCCTTTTTGCGTTGGGCACTTCTTAGTTCTCCCTGCACATCAGAATTAGAAGCAAAGTCTGTGCCGGAAAGCGTGGAGCAGCCAGCACCGTCCCTCCATAACCCTACATTGCAAATCTACGCCCGCACATGCCAAGCTCCAATGCGAATTAAGCTCGAGGGAGTGAACATCCTTGTCCAGCCTTCTGCACGCACAGCGCAGTCGGGTATCAGCCTTGGCAAGACCATTCTCTTGGCTTTACATGACTCCTGCGACTATGCGTTTTGGCATCTGCAGCACGATGTCTTGTGAAGACAGGTCGCTGCATGATCTTCCTGCCACGGTAAACCAGAGCAAAGACCCACCCGCCGACAAATTCTCCTGCTGTCGCATTCGATTTGCGAGACCGTGATGCCATGGGCATGTAGTGCACTGGTAGTGCCTCCATGCCAGTGCCGATCTTAGAAAAACTGCCAGCTTGTCTGACTTAGATTTGCACTCGCAATGCGCACTCGCAAGATCTGAATTAGCGCGAGTTGCGGTGAAGATCTCGCTGCCGAAGGAGCGCAGCGGATTGGTGCGGGACCAGATTCTGCATGGGGCTGTAGCTTTGAGACGCTGGGCTATATGTCAGCTGTGTAGCACTCAGATTCCTGACTTGGAACATACTATACTGTACTCACTATGCTATACTATACTATATTATACTATACTACGAGACTATACTATACTAAAGTATATTATAGTATAGTATAGTATAGTTTAGTATATATATAGCATATATCATATTATATTACAATATTTCTGCAGCGCCTGTCGCCTGCAGCGCAGCTCGCGCGGCACCGATGGCCGCGACGCTGGCACGTGCTGCATTGAGCTCCTCCGCATGATTGCAACAGGCTTCATTTTTTAGTATGTACACCGTATGACATAGTTTAGACATAGTAATACAAGGTCTCGCCTGGCTTGAGGACACATCAAACAATCAAGTCATTGTATATTGCATTTTGATAAACAGCTATGTACCTAGGACAAGCATGCAATCAAAGTGCAGCACAGCGAGACTGTCCCTACATATGCCGCATACGATATGCGTGAACAAATGTATGTCTTACAGTTTCTGTATATGTCTATGCAGATATCTACCCTATGTATTCATTATACCGAGCTTTGTTCTCCTCTTCCACTGCCTCGGCACCCACGGCCGCCGCTGCGCCACGCAGGGCTCGGGCCGCGGCGGTGCGAAGCTGAGGGATGCAATCGGATGCAATTGAAAAAATACCCGGCTGCTGCCGGGGGCGGTTTCGTTGGTTGGTGCACGTTTGCAGCCTTCTGTGCGGAGGTGCGACCCCTTTGGAAAGCTGCCCGATGTTTGCTGTGGCGCCACCACGAAGCAGTCTGCGCGACCAGCAGTGTTTTGTTTACAGAACCATGCTACCATCCCGAAGAACTGGTCAGCATGAGGGGTAGCAACAGTTTGGCTGAGCGCTGTGCAGACGAAGCTCAATCAAAATGGTACAGCTCAAAACTAATCAAGAGCAGCAGTGTGATTCCGAAACATCATAAACCACATGTCTTTCAACTGAACACTTCCATTCCAGACAATGCACAGATCTCCTCGCTGACCCAAGACCCAGGACTGAAGACTCCCGTCTCTTTTTTCCTTCCCCACCCGGAGTCTTCTGACCTGACCGGAAACTGAAGCGTCGATCTTCCAGCCCACAGGAGCCTGCGAGCTTGAATGCAGGCAACACGGTGCGGCCACCGCCAAAAGCTCCCCAAGTGCCTTCAAGCAGCAAAGCAAAAAGCGAAGACTTACTCGAGCGCCGGCGCCTCGGTGGGGCCTGCAACCTAAACAAAATCAAGTCTACCCCAATAAACGAACCCATGGCCGGTTGCGCGGCAATCCGACTTTGAATCTGTACTGCGGGGAAGGGGAACAGGCTTGTGCTAAGGTGAACGATTCGTTTCTCGGTCGTCCTGGGACCGTGTTTGACACGTTGATCGACCAAATGCCGTTCAATCCAAGCCACCTGTCTCTTTTTCTGCTCTTTGTTTTAAGTCTCACTCAAGCAGACTGCAGCGTGTCCAATACGCTGATACGCTTGCAGGGAAAATCACGAACCACCCATCCGATCCTCTTGGAAACATACCTATTTTATGGGAACCATCAGCATCGCTCGGCAAGCGCTGCAGGTTTCCCAGCATTTGCACACACGCGAACAGTGGCTGGCCGGAGTCTTGGACATGATCCTCCCGCCACCGGCCGAGGATGTCGAAGCGGATGCCGCCCGGTGGCAAGTTCCAGCGCCGTTTGCGACGGGGTCGGTTTGGAAGGTCCTGGCCGGCTTGCGAGGGCTCTCCCGTGCCAGGCGGCTGCAGTTGCAACCGGAGATTCGAAAGCTCTCCGTTCATGCTTTTTTCACGACCGCAGAACGATGTTGGGCATGCCCTTCTGCTATCTACCGCTTGGATGGTAAGGTGGGGGAGCTTGGGTTGGAAGCATCTCGGCACCGAAAGGGCTTCTTTGCGCTGGGCGGGGCAGAGTGGCTGGGAAGAGCACCTGGGCACAACCGCACCGGGCATGAGCGTCATGAGCAACAGCTGGGAAACGTTCTCAAAGGCTCAGCAGGAAACAAACACACCAACTTAAGCATCATCAGCATCAGCTGGCAAACGCCTCCAGCATACCGACACCCGACATGAGCATCATGAGC